CTCTCTCTCTATCTCTCTCTCTCCTTTTATTGACCTTCTGTATTCGTCAAATCTATACAGCGAGCAACAGTGGCCACAGCTGTCATATGTGAAGTGTCACTTATATGCAAGCATTTCAAACAAGAAGACGTGAACATAAAACTACGTTTAAAAATAAACTTCACATTTTGAATTACAATAGCTCTCTTACTCCACATTCCTCCCTTCGGTGATAATAAGAACCTCTTCTGAATATAGCACCAGTATTCGAATTCGTACTTTGATAGGCAGCAAAAACAATAAAAACAACAACAACAATGTCGACGACAACGACAACAACAACAACTACAACAACAACAACAACAACAACAACTACAACAACAACAACAGCAACAACAACAACAACAACAACAACAATAACAACAACCTATCAATGACCCACTGCCACTCTATCAAACAGTTAATTTGAGATTTTTAAGAAGCTAAAATCAGATGTTAACATTTTTGGAAGCAAACTAAAGCACCGTACTCTGAAACTGATCGAGCTTCCCTTAATCTCTGCATATGATGTAAAACATTTACCATATTAAATTACTATAACAATTTAAAAGCGTTTAGAGACAGAAAGACGCTTTGTCTGACAAATATTGGGTATTTCCAAACGTAAGTCTTTGGCCGCTTCAGAGACAGGTTCAATGCGGACGAATCATGCACACTTCCCTGGCGATTAATGCATCTGAACCTTTGGAAGAATGAATGATTATTGCCTTGGACACAGCTTAAGAAAAAAAAAATTGAAATGATGCCGTCTCTATAGAAACGGAGCATGTCTGTATTAAAATGTCCTGGGTAAGAAAAGGTATTAGCTTTACTTTATTCAGTAGTTGTCAAAATATCAAAAAGTTATGGATTTCGTAATATTTCATCTTCTTCTGTGTCTACGAGTACTGAAGCAGGCTTCGATCCGTCTGTTCCTATCCTCTTCTACTTTCTAACTTTTCCCAGAAAATAGGCAACTTACTATGGATAAATATTCCATGGAATTCAGTCCAATAGGTCTCCCCCCCCCCAACCCCTTACAGATAGGTAGATAGATAGATAGATAGATAGATAGATAGATAGATAGATAGATAGATGGATAGATAGATAGATAGATAGATAGACAGAT